AGGAATTCTGAATGTTTAAAGATGTAAAAACAGAAAACATTTTTTTAAAGTGATTTAAATCTCTGAGTTTTATTTTTAAAATCAAGTTGATTTAAATTTTAAAAAATCAACTGATTTAAATCGACTCGATTTAAATCAACCCAACCCTGGTTTTCACTTATGAAAAAAAAGTAAATTGAGAACTGTATTATTTTACAGTGACAGGGGGGGAAGCAGACTTTTAAGCATGATTATATTAGTCTACTAAACCTAAATATCCGTTTAAAATAAAAACCAAGGAAAGGAATTCTGAAAGTTAATAAATATGTAAAAACTGAATACATTTTTTTGAAAAGTGATTTAATTCACTGATTTTTATTTTTTAAATCAAATTTATTAAAAAATTTTAAAATCAACTGATTTAAATCAACCCAGCTCTGGTTTCAATTATGGGAAAAAAAGTAAATTGAATACTGTATTATTTTACAGTGAAAGGGGGGAAATCAGACTTTTAAGCATGATTATATTAGTCTACTGAACCTGATCTGTTTTATGAAACCAAGGAAAGAAATTCTGAATGTTGAAATGTGTAAAAACCGAATAAAAATTATTTTTAAAAAAAGTGATTTAAATCACTGATTTTTATTTAAAAAATCAAGTTGATTTAAATCCAAAAAATCAACTGATTTAAATCAACCCAACCCTGTGCTGATGTACTACTTGTTGAGTCTATCGCGTTCTGCCCTTTGTATTTATTTGATCGTTTCGTTCATCATTTTTGAATGGCTCATTCATTCTATCACTCACTGTAACAAAACATAGAGCTAGATCTAGATTCTAGATCTTGGTTTTACATGCCTTTTTCATCATCTGTTGAGCCGTAAATGGTCATTTTTCAGTAGCAGGTATACATATATATATCGGGTATCTCAGCTAATCCCCCCTGCTAAACCCTAACCCCCCCCCCCATGTTTACTACCGATCGGTCGTGGCGGCGGGGCATTTTTGGTGGGCTACTTCCGGTGAAACGATGAGGCTGGCTGAGCGCTTCTAGATCTAGATCTAAGGTTAACACATCATCATATTTATCATGTTACTAACTACTCCTCAGAGTCAGAGGTAAGATTGAAGAATACCGGACCAGCGGACTGACTTTGCCTATGTCTCAACCATAGGAATTCATAATTTTCCCGTTTTTAATATCTCTCAATGGAGATCTCGCTCTCTCTCACACACACACACTACCGGGTCTGGGCGCTGAACTTTCCGACATCACAAAAGAGTTCCCCTACCGGGTCTGTATACTTCGTGACTTTGTTCCCGGTTAACGGGTCTGTATACACTCCGTTTTCTCAAAGGTACATCATACAGCATTTTTCGGGATAGCCCCCTTGTTGTGCTTATTAAGTTATAAATGGTGACCAATGACTTTGCAAGTTATCTTGACCTCACAGAGCGTCTCTAGGCCAAGATATCGATCGATAAAGTGCACGGTCCAGCTGAGCGACTACAGTGTTATTGTCAAGCGCCATTTGCCGATCAGCGCGATCTTAAGAAGGCGCAGAACAATATGATGATCCGCAGAGAGCGTCCATCTCGAGATGGGCGCGATGCGCCATCACACACAAACGATTTTGCAAAGTTCACAAACAAAACTCGAGATGTTTGTGTGTGTGTGTGTGTGTGTGTGTATGTTGTTTTAGCGTGTGCATGTATGGTGAGAAGTGACTTTTATCTATCTTGGGTATATACA